CTTCTAAAGGAGAAAGAGGCGGGAGGAGCTCCCACTTTACTCTTAACATGTCCCCGACCAGCGACGTAGACTTTCCAATTTTCCGGGGGGGGGAGTTGGAGCTAAGCGTTACATTTTCGCCAGAACTGGACATTGAAGCTAACGAAAGCATGCTGGGATTCTATTTCCCATGTATTTTGTCAATAAAGGCAACGTGGGCGTTATTGTTTTTACATGCCCCTACTAAAAGCTCATTACATGGCACGTAAAGAGCGTCTCGGTAAGCATCATGGCCCGGGCCCGGAGGGGGGGGGGGGGGGGGGGGGGGGCTCTGCCTCTTCCCCCGGATCTCACAAGGAAGGGCACGAGCCCCGATGCCCCCCCCCCCCCCCCCCCCCCCGAAGTCTACGCCCATGTCCCCGACTGTAGCTTGTATTGGTTAGAAGTCGGGCCAGCACTGTTCACGAGTTGAATTTCGTTGAATTTCGAAGTTGGAAGGTTCGCCAAAGCGAGTCGAACTGCGAATGTTCCTCAAAAGTTCGCGCCAATGCTTCTCAAACGGACTCCCCCCTTCTTCCCGGCCCGTCGGATTCCCGGGGGCCCCCCGGGGCGCTGGGCGGGGAGGATTGTGTTTTCGCGGGGCTCGACTGGAGAGGGCACGCCACACTCGGCGTTCACGCCGAGGTTCGCACCCTTTGCCCGCCCCGCCGAGTGCTGCTTCGGCGAGAGCGCCTTATTGCGCGGCAAATCCAATTCGACGTCATGGCGGCTTTACCGCCGCCGCCATGCAGATGCCCCCCGCCGCTGCCTCCGACACTCCGCGTGCACGAAGCAAAAAAAAAAAAAAAGAATGTTAAAAAAGGAGTTTTTCATTTATTTATTTTCCTGATGGCGTCTGCGGAAATCGCCTTTGCTTGCGCTCGCGTTTTGGGAGAGCTAGTCCGAATCGTGTTGTTGTTCCAGCTTTTTTTTATTTGTTATCTTTCCACGCAGTAGCTATTTTTTATCGGTTTTATTTTTATTTTTTGGGGATGGAAGTTCGGTTCATAACTTTTTCAAGAGGGAAGACGAAGGTGGTTATTTCTTTTCGTTTTTCTGTGGTTTTTTTTTTAATTTCGTAGTTTGTTCTGCACCACCAAAGTCAGCTTCCTTCTAACGGAGTGAGCTAAAATTTGATTTGAAAGAGTCTCTCTCTCTCTCTCTATGTGGGAAGGCATTCCAAGCGCATGCTGCGAAGACAAGCGAAGGCTGCGATCCTTAAGTGCTTTTCTGTCGGCGCGCTAGGCTATTGCTTTTGAGACTACGCCAATTGATCACTTGGAGAGACCTGGTTAGAACGTGCCACATCTTTCGTTAATCGCTCTTCTCATTTTGTTAACTTTCTTTGTTTCTGCTCCATCAATTAATTCATTCTACAAAACAAAGCTACAGCTCGACAGTTAAGAATGGCATACTAATAACAAAGTGTACATACCGTGTTGCGAAGGTAATCCATACGGCGTTTATTTGAGCTCTATATCACACAAAACAAGGAGATAGAATCGAGGAGTCCCTTTTCGACTACAGCGTTCGTCACCGTTGCCTCGGAAAACAAGGTGATCGAGATGATAAGGGGAATCGGTTGACCTCTCAAATTTAGCTCAGCTATCAAACTATTCATACGGGGAGGGTCCACAAGGGTCGCGCGGGCATATTCCATTCAGCAAGCCAGCCGGTCGCGGGCAGACGGTCTTGGCCAAGGACCGTCTGAGCAATGCTGCGCCGGAACGGGTCGGAGTGCCTGCTAGGCCTATATTCTGCCGAGCTCGCTTGGTCGGTGGGATCGTTGCCTTTGTTGCCGTTTCCGGGTGTCTGTGGATCCAGCGTTCATGTTCGTCGTGGTCGGTTTCAAGCACTTCTTCATTTTTTTCTTGCTGCTTGAAGTCGGGACGCGCAAGAAGAGCAGGTAGAAAAATAAATGTCCGTTGGTAGTCGCGACCGCGCAACTGAGCGACGTTGTCGGCCATGTTAATTTGATCGTAGAAAGTGTGTGAGACAGCTTCGGAGCTGTCGTAGGATTCTGTCGTATCCTGCGCAAAAGTTACGACAATTTTGTTTCTAGAATACGGATTTTTTCTCAAATTTGTCGTACGCATTTTTTTCGTCGTAAGTTCGCTTTGAGAATCCGGCCTCAGATTCTCGGACGACCCGAGCACGTGAAAACTGACCTCCAAACCTTTCTCGACACTTTTGGTACCGCCCCAGTTGCGGCGCTTTGACGAGAAGGCAGGTTTTTGTCTGGTTCCTTCCAAACAACGCAGGAATACACTTCTGGCAGGGGGGACTTCTGCCCACAGCCCCAGACCGGAAGTGCGACCGACGCGCCACCACCGCACCGTGACGTCACAGAGTTGAGTTCGTGTATACATTGTGCAAATAAAAGCCAGTCTGCATCACATATTTGAACGCGAGTCACCCCGAGATCCGTGCTTCGAATGCAGCATGGCAATGAGTTCAAGGAAAAAACATGGCACTCGGCATTCGAACCACGGATGTTGCGGTGACTCGTGTTTGCAGATTGTCTTTTTTTTTATGATGTGTGGGAAAAGTGACCTCGGCTTTACGGTGAAAGTTAGCCCCCTATATTAGGATCCTTTGGCTTTATGTCTCAGCTGCACAGACAACATCAGTGTATCTCTCAAGGCTTTTTTTTTTTTTTTAAGTAAAAGCCGTTAGGTTTTAAGTGAAACACCCGTCATAGTAAGTGACAGGTGAAGAAACCAATGACATGGCTCATTATATTGACGGTTCTAGCTTCGTGGTTTTTTATTCGGCATTCTTTTCGGCTTAATGGCTGCAAAGTGCATCTTTGAATGTTCGAAACTCGCCACGACTGGGTTTTCTTAAACTGTCGGCGATCGTACACAAAATTGCCTGTATTTAGTCTCCCGCAGACCACGCAGTCAGCCAATCACGGCGAAGATTAGAAAAAAACCCAGCCAATCACGAAACGCAAAAAAAGATACATCTGCAAAAACACTAGTATACGATGCCCGCTGGGACGTTGAGTCAACAAGTGAGACATCATGTGTCTCACATCGCACCTTCTTTTTTGTCTAGTCCTATTTCGGGTTTTTATATTTTCTGTGGATACTCTTATTGTTCGGCGCGATTAGGTACCTGCGTGTCCTGCAGAAAAAGTCGAAATTAAGAAATTAAGGCTGCAACCCACGCTGTCAAGGTGGTTGGACAACAATGCTGTGGTATCACCTGCAACGATTGCCCATTGAACTATAGACCCTTCTTATGGCAAACGCTACCAGGTGGTGCTCCAGTCTATGACGTCCCAGAGAACTTACGGTATGTAAAGAATAGTGAACAAAGGCCGCCTCGAAACCGCTGCTTGAAATGTAGATGAAACATTTAACTACCAATTCTTTAGGTGAACGCCAAAAGAACGAAGGAGTGCGAGATCTGTGAAAATGTTTCGAGTATTCTTTTAAACCAACTTGCCTCCTCCAATATGTAATAGTGTACAGCCGAAGGCCTTCGTTACATCTCCAACTTTGTTGTCCGTGTGGCATTTATGCTTTCCAGCACTGATGACATAAAGGGATGCTGAACCGAAATCTGGATTCCCCAAAACACGCGGCAAAAGCGTGCAACACGATGCTACAAACACCAAACCATCACTCATACAGTGATATCTGGAACGGATGACCGTATTTTTTTTTTTTTAAAAAAAGAGGCGTATTTAACAGGAATGTTGACATCATGTTTCTCGTAGAAGGAAAGGGAACGGCCTCGCGTGTTCTCCGCCTCGCGGCCTTGAGGGAGCGAAGCGAAGAGAGGAGGAAACTAGGTATCTTGACCGTCACGCACCTCGTCGGCCTGGTTTAATCTCGACTTCTTTTTCTAAAAGTACGACCGTCCATTTGAGATATCGCCTTGCTAGTAGTGTTGTAGGGATTGTAGCGTCCCGCCTACATCTCCAGCATTGTTCTTTTGAAATCCAAATTTCGGTTCACCATCCCTATAAGCAAGCTCAACTGCAAAGACGGTGCGACAGGAAATCGCTTGGGACGCAAGCGGCAGTTTATATTTGTAAACAGCAAAGGGGTCTATACCGAACGATTGACGAAAAAAAAGTAAATGCGTTGTACCAAAACTTTATATATATATATATGTGAAAGACTTCGGCACGCTTCCGTTGCCACGGCAGCTTAGGCAACCGCAATCTTCACTACCGAGAAAAGCATACGGGGAGCGCTACGTGCTTCGCATTGTTAGCGGGGATTGTGACGTCACTCCCCAGTTCCTACTCTGCCGTTGCCGCCGACAGGTTATGCAACCGCAACCTTTACTACCGAGAAACGCATGCGGGGAGCCCTACGTGCTTCGCATTGTTAGCGGGGATTGTTTTGTCACTCCCCAGTTCTTACTCTGCCGTTGCCGCCGACAGGTTATGCAACCGCAACCTTTACTACCGAGAAACGCATGCGGGGAGCCCTACGTCTTTATCATCTATCACGTGGTTTTAACACTTGTTTTGTGGTTTTCTTATTGAAGCAAGTGTCAAAACCACATGAGAAGAGATAAGGCGCGCGCGAACGGTGATAAGGCGAGCGCGGTGGTTTTCTATCCACTATTCTGTCGACAACTGTTCTTTCGACGGAGAAAAAAAAGAAGAAAAAAAAAACCGACTAACAAATTAAATACAGCTTCGCTGTAAAAAAATGTATCTTGTTTAGGATTTGTTTTGTTTTCTCTTGCGTGTCCACGTTGACGTTGGCTTGACAAGCGCATATTCCCCCAAAACATATCCCCTTTCAGTTTTAAGATATGAGACGTCATATTTCCGCCAAGATGCGGGCACAGCCTATAAAGCGGTTCAGCTTATCTGCAATAGAGGCACCCCCCCCCCCCCCCCCCCCCTTTACAGGAAGTTTGTCGCCCGCCTTTATCAACTACGTTCAGCTGTTCGATCTACATGCGTTTTTTGTCAATGCGGCGTTCGCGTGAGACTTCCGCCACTTGGAGGGAGTTTGCGCTCCGACGTTGGCGGGTTACCGGTGATGGCAATGAAATCGCGGACCTACGTGTTTGATATGGCGACGCTGCTCGTACTGATGGCGTCGGCGGGGACAACAACCTCAACGCCTCCGAACCTCGTGCTCATCGTAGCCGATGACCTGGGTGCGTACGTTTTTCTCAAAAAAAAAAAAAGCTCGAGACTTGACTGAAAAAGACGAACGATTGCTAGGGAAAAGATGAAAGCCGTTTACAATCCCCTGTAACACCGAATTAGAGCGCAGCTCTTGAGGAGGAGGAGGGGAAGGTACGGAGAGGAGATAATGCCCCTCCTCCTCTCCTGCTCGCCTCCCATTTAGGGAAAAAATTTCCGCTCAATTTTATGGGGAAGTTTTTTCCGCTAGATTAAGAGGGGGAAATTTTTCCGTTAGATTTAGCGGAGAAGTTTTTCCGCTAAATTTAGCGGGGAAATTTACCCATAATGCACCGCGCGGTTACGCCGACGGCGACGCCGACGCCGCTCAAGCCGGAAACGGGCGCCTAAGAGCTGCGCTTTAAAAAAAAAGTATATGTCTTTCGTAGTCAGATACAAATTAAGAATGTTCGAAATTAACGTCTTCACTGATCATCTTCGGCACAGAATCGGCCCAGTAACCAACCAGGAAAGGCAGTAGCCGTCACAGCCGCCGTCACACTGGCAATGCATCACACAAGAGACAGTCTGATGGCAATGTGCTAGGTGGCGCGAACTACCGCCCGAAATAAAGGGTATAGCCGTTAGCATCCATCGATCCTTCCTAGTAGGATGGTCCAGTGTCCCCTTGACCACACAACAACTGTCTACAGACATGTTCGGCGTGCGTGTGTATGAGGCAAACGTGCTTCTTAGATGTTTGAGCCGTGTACGCAAACAATTCGATCATCAGAGAAACTCCGCTGTTTTTTGTAGGATTTATGAGCAGGACCATTCCAAACGCTGTTTCGAAAATGATCAGTTTTTTTTGTTGTTTTTTTGTAATGTATTTATTGATTGGTCGGCCGCTTTACACAGAGGCCGAGATAACTACAGCCGCACAGTGTAGTAAAGCATATAATATAAGAAAAAAATACAGGCAATAACGGACAACGTAGTACCACACCATTGTAGCATACACACACACACACACACACGCACGCACACAAACACACACGTGCGCACACATACACACATGCGCACAGACACGCCCGCACGAACGAACGCACATACGCGCACACAGGCGCGCTCGCACGCACGCACACACGCACGCTCCACGCGTTCTAAAATACACTGCCGCCTAAACGCTACGGAGGCGACATCTGGCAATCGTTTCGGCATTGCATCCTTAAAGACAAGCTGAAGCGGTTTTGTATTTGAGGAACCACATTTAAATCGTCATCATTTGACCTCCAGAATCTCGAATATAATTTCTTTTTTTAATTGGGTGCATAAAGGCTGCAGAAAACCATTTTTAAAGTACCGTTAAAGGTCCTCCTTTCCGGAGCCTGACGTCACAAAATGAGTTTTCGGAATCTCTGCTCTTGCGCATCTTCAGTGTTTGTCAAAGCTATGCACGCGCACTCTTGCTATTTTTTTTAAAGGGTAGAAAAACACGTCACGACTGGTGCCAGGGCGGGGTAATGTACCTGGCAAGCTTGCGATTGCACGCGCAGCTCTCGAGCAACACGCCGCCTGGCGGCCAAAAGATCCACTTATCACGTAACGACTAATCGTTTTTTTTGTTGTTTTTTTGAGAGCGCAGTTTTAGGCGCCTGTTTCCGGCTTGAGCGTCGTCACCGTCGCCGCTGGCGTAACCGTGAGGTTACGTGACTCCCGTGAGGTCACGCGACGTCACGAGGGTCACGAGACCTCGCGGTTACGCCGAAGGCGACGCCGACGCCGACGCCGCTCGGAAAAAGGAGTAGCAGGCAGGATGAGGAGGTGAGGAGGAGGGGTCTACCTTCCCCTCAGTACCCTTCCCTCCTCCTCCTCAAGAGCTGCGCTCTAATTCGGCGTTACAGGGAGTTGTAAACGGCCTTCATTTCAGAGCGCAGCTCTTAGGCGCCCGTTTTCGGCTTGAGCGGCGTCGGCGTCGCCGTTGGCGTAAACGAGGTCACCACAAGGTCACCCAAGGTCCGGTGACCCCCCAAGGTCACGTGACCCCTTCCAAGGTAACCACAAAGCCACGTGACCCCCCGAGGTCCCGTCCCCCCAAGGTCACGTGACCCCCAAGATCACGTGACCCCCCGAGGTCACGTCCTCCACCCCAAAGTCACGTGACACCCCCCTCCGAGGTCAGGTGACCCCCCCGGAGCATATTAAAGAATGAGAGGAGGAGGAGGAGAAGGAGAAGGAGGGGTCTACCTTCCCCTCAGTACCCTTCCCTCCTCCTCCTCAAGAGCTGCGCTCCAATTCGGCGTTACAGGGAGTTGTAAACGGCTTTCACGTTTTTTTCGCGTTTAGTTATATTTTTGGGGAAAACGAGCGCGGTATTCAGATTCACGGGATGAAACTACGCTAAAAACAACCTCTATCTCATTTTCTGAAAAACGTGTTTCAGCTTCCCTAGGAGCTCACGGTTAAAAAAGAAAGAAAAATTAGAATGTGTGACATATATATCAATCAATCAATCAAATCAATCAATCAATCAATCAAATCTTTATTCAACATCGCACAGATGTTGGGGGCGCAGACAAAAAGCCTATAAAAGGCTTGACTAAGGGTCTGCGCCCCCTACATGAAACAAAAAACTTATATATATATATATATATATATGTATGTGTGTGTGTGTGTGTGTGAGTGTGTGTGTGTTTTTTAGGCTGGAACGACGTGCCCTGGCACAACCCCGGAATTCTCGCCCCCAATTTGCGGCGGCTTGCGTCGGAAGGTGTCACTCTGGAGCAGAATTACGTGCAGCCCGTCTGTAGTCCGTAAGTACCGGATATTGACTGCGATGACACACACACATTTAGAGAGAGAGAGAGAGAACAGAAACGGACGGATGAACATGCCGTGGAAGTAATTTCATTTTGATCGTCACTGATTTTCCCCCAAAACTGGTTCAGCAGATAATTAGGAACATCTGAACTCGTTACCTAGATTAGTACAAGTCACAATGATTTTGTTTTTGCGAAGGTATAGAACTTTCGAATTTGGGTTGGGGAGGCTGAGGAGTTCTACTGGGATACAGGTTTTGCTTGAGCTAGTTGGTACATGCTTGAATATGGTCAGCTGAACAATTACAAATCAGAAGAAAAAAAAACCAGCGGTGTGTATGTATTTCTTCTCATGGTTTTTCTAATTTGTAATTGTTCAGCTGACCATATTCTATTGGGAACACTGAAAACGTGACGTCATTTGTTGTAATGTGAGAGAATAGGGAATATTAAAGCATGTTTCTGACAGGTTACGAGAAGTTCGATGGTGTCAAATAAGCACTTAACAAATTTAAACCAAAAAACAAAAAAAGACGTGATCAAAATGTGCGAAATATATTGTGTATTTTAGACTGCCTGTCCGCTTTGTAGGTTATACAACAGAGGACGTAACTCCACTGGATAGCGCGGAAAAATTTCATTATTAACTACAACATTTTTCCACCTTTCTTTTTTTAATTGTAGGCATGTGTGAATAATGTATTTTGAATTTGAAGCGAATTCAAAGCGAATGGTGGTTTCAATGGAATCTTTTCGAATGCAATATTAATATAGTTTCTCCACATATTTCCCCACCGTGCGCTATGCTTGAACGAAACATTCAGTTGAACTTCTGAAGGCTGTTCCTGGCCTTCTTGCACCTGTTTACATATGACCAAGGTGAATTTTAACGGTAACTCTATTTATGAGCTGTGGCATGTAAAAACCACAAATTTGTCGCAGCTAATTTAATTGAGTGGATTTATAAATCTGCTTGCTATATAAAAAGAAATATTCTTTCTTCAATTCCAAATTTGACAAAAAAAAATGTAAAAAGAACACGCACAATTTCACTATTCGTGCTTGTTCTTTTTACTTTTTTTTTTGTAAAATTTGCGGCGGGCATGCATATACGCAGAGGTGGCCAAATTACTCATTTATTGTGCACTCTAAAAAAAATGTATGTGCGTCTCCTTTGCCGCACAACACTCGGGGAGTCAATCACCGCAACTTACGGAGGCAGCTCAGCGAATGACGATACCAAAACATATGTTTAAAAAAAAAAAAAAAAAAAAAAAAAAAAACACGGTCTGAGTTGTGACATAAAGCAATGCAATACGTCAAGCTTGACCGAAACGAATTTTGGGCTGGGATAAATGATTTTAAATTGGGACTTTACTAATCGCATATCGTTTGGTTGGACAAAAAAAAGAGGGTAGAAAGTCAAAAGCCAGCTTTTCGGTACGAACATTTGAAAACATCGCGGACTGTTTTGTACCTTCTTTCCTTCGAAAGCTCCCCGCCTTTTCACTATGATACATCCGCGGTTCCCAAAGCGCGTCAGCGGTGCCAACCTGACGTCAGCCGAGCCCAGCTCAGGCATTCGACACGAGAACTGCGTCACTCGGACGTATGCGCTCGTCAACAATCAATCCGTCGACGAATATTCGGATTCGCGTTCGTGGCCAATGAGTGCCCTGATGGACCTTATCGTCACTGGGGAATGACAAGTTCTATGATGTGCAGAAAAAGCACGGTGGAAGCTAGGAGTCATCGCACCGGTGCCGAAGAATGTTACGACGTCGTAATTTCACAATTCGCATTTGAGTTGAGGATTAAAGCTAAGGAAGAAGAAGTAGGAAAATTGTTTCATGACCCATTTAATGTCACGACTCACACTGCGTTTTTGGTCTAAACATATGTTTATGCATCGTCATTCGCTGAGCTGCCTTCGTAAGTTTCGGTGATTGGCTCACCGAGTGTTGAGCGGGAAAGTAGACGCACAGACTTTTTTAGAATGTAATTAAATTACATTACTTATTACTTTTCTAAAATGACTGATATGCAATTAAATTACATTACAAATTACCACTACGCGAAAGTAATGAATTACGATTACAAATTACCGCATAAAAGTAATGAAATTACTTTTAAATTACTGTTTCATACATGTTAAAGAAAGAGCTAGACAGAAAGAAAGAACGAACTCTGCCCGGCATTTGCAAAGTAACAACCGTCAACCCCACAACAAGCCACTGGGAAAAACCACAGACAGATAAGGCGAACCAACATTCCCTCCCAAACCGAACCGACTGACCTGGGGTCTGTCTGTATTGGGGGTTCGCGTTTTTCCCGAAATACCTACCACGCACCCTGTCGATTCCCGGATAAGTCTGGGTTCGGATTGCCTTGCTATTTATTGATTATTCCTGTGGGCTGTGTCTTCTTTGTGTGAACTTCTGAGCAAGATAATCTTCATGGGAGACAATAGCCATGTTTGGGGAAGCCTATTCTTTGTCACAGCAAGACAAACCCAGCGGGATTTAGGTGGCACGACCCTCTATGCTCCGTGTCACTATTTCCCTGCAGTACAAGCGAAGGCAACGCCAGGGGAGGGATGAAAGGGCAAGCACTAGGAAGGCTCGGGACGAGGAGTGCAACCTTTTCTCCTCTCTAACGTTCCTAGTGCTTTCTCATTCTCCCATCGGCGTCTATGGCCCTCCTCTCGCGTCCTGCCATCCTAGTGCTCGCTCTTTCTCTGTTCGCCTGGCGTTGCCTTCGCCTCCACTGCACACAACTAGAGACACGGAGTATAGTCCGACCTAGAGTGCCTTCAAGTAACGCGCCCATAAAGGTGGGCAGTCCGACTGTCACACGAGCGAGCGGCCATTAACGAACAGCGCATTTGTCGTTTCTTTTTCGTTATTTTTTAAAAAGCTTTATTTTTTGGCAAATGCAAGAGCTGCTTTCTTTTTGTTGATTTACGGGCAAATAAAAAATATGCCTTAAATATCCAAAAAGTAATTACGATTTTAATTACAATTACCCCCACTAGGGTAATTCATTACATTACTAACTTGCCTGCTTCAAAAATTAATAATATACATTACAAATTTTTTTTAAAGTAGTCTAATTACTGTAATTCAATTACAGTAATTTATTTTCTGCCACCTCTGCGTACCCGCGGCGTTTGTCTCGTTGAGTGCGCTTCTTGCCAAGCTCTTGTGCACTGCGGGGAAGCATCAACACTGCCCGTAAAACACTGTCGGCAGTCTTCTTCGAAGCGTAGATGAAGCGAACATGCTTCGAAGATACTCGATGCGTGTCGGCGGATATTTCTGTCATAAATGGCCGCAGAGAAACTCCGAGAAACTCCGCAGAGAAACTCCAGAATGCCTGAAAAGCCGCTAATCTCGACAAATCTAAAAAACATCGCCACCCCTAAAATGTTTTTTTGCCCGGCGATTTATTACGGTGTTAAAAAGCTACCAAATCAGTATTTTGTTACGTCGTCACTTATATTTGTAATTTAAAAAAAAATGATACTGTTCGAAACCGAAACTGAAACTGAACTGGGAAGAAAGAATAAATGCAGAGGAAAAAGTTGCCGGAAGTCACGCCGCGTTTCAATTAGTTTTTTTTTTTTTTTTTTTTCGTTTTTTTTTTTTAATTATTTTTGTGCTGTGAGCAGCAGACGAAAAACGCGCGCGTCGCAAGTCGCACGAAAAAAACAGAAGTAAACGCGAAAAACGCGCAAACGTCAAGCACTTCGTGCTTGACGTTTGCGCGTTTTTTAAGCTCTTACCAATTTGTGTTCCTGAGGCGAGCGGTGTCTGGAGCCACGCCAAGGGGCGACGACTCGGCGCCATCTTCGCGCGAATCAGCTTGGAGGTTGGGCGTATCGTACGGAATAAACCCGAATTGTTTTGATCGGTAAACGAATCCTCTTTCGAAGCTAGACAGATTCGGCCGTACCGCAAACCACAGTTCTGAAGTAGAGGTCTCACACGCGTCGTCCGCCGGCATCGCTTACCGCTCATTCACACTGGAAGCGGATCCGCGTTCGCAAAGCGGTTACGAACGCGGTTGTATAAAGATCCAGTACAATTGCACGCGCACTGGATCTTTATACAACCGCGTTCGCAACCTCTTTGCGAACGCGGATCCGCTTCCAGTGTGAATGAGCGGTTAGTCCGCTTCGTTCAGCCGTCCGGCCCGCGACTCCCGCAACACGGCGCCATGTTGAGAATTACGCAGAGAATGCAGTGAGTAGGTACTTCCGGCAATCTGTGCAGTTTTTTATTTCAATCAACGTATTTGCAGCTTTTCAAAAGCCACAAAAAATGTGTATCATATTTTGTCTGTTTTTAGTATTGAGTGTGTGCCTTCGATGACCCACGACTTTGATTATCTTTGGTGGTTGTGTCAAAACCATAGAAAACAGCACGTGACCACGGAGAAGAGAGTGAGCGCGATTCAAACCGGCCGGTTCCTGATCGGCGATTTTCGCGCGGAAAAAAGACGAATTTCGAGCCGCAAATTGTGTTTTTAGGTAGTCGGGCTCTCATATGTTATGTATACAAACAAAAGCCTTTGCGAGAAAAAATACCTCATCATTGTCCCTGTAAGAAAAACAAGGCATGGCTTGTTATTTTTCGTTCTCATCTGCACGTTCGTATCTGCACATGCTGCAATCTATTTGAAGCCACAGAGCGTCAAAACGTTGCATAGGACTCGCTACGTCCTGGGCCCGTTTGCTCGAAGCGCTAACCGCGGCTAAAGTTAGCCGCAGTACCTAGGAGGGGGATTTTTTAATCACGTGATTGGTTCGATAGGGATGCGGGGAAACATGGCGGTGCCCCTGTGAGTGAGCGCCGCTCGCTTTGGAACTAATACGTCGTTGTAGCTGCAGAATCGGGCGCGTTAGTCAGCAGCGAATGGTACAGGAGGCCTTCGCTTTGGCTTACCTCACTGATCGCAAAGCATGAGCAATGACCTCGTTGCATTTTTTTAGATTGTCTTTCGATTCTGGCCATTCTTAAGCCTAAATGAACGCGATAATTGTTGGCATGGCAACATCTTCGGAAAGCGGATTGCCTTGACTCAAACACAAAAGCAGACAGCGTCCCAATAAACCTTTTTCTGAATTACCCAAACATCAAGGAGAACGCTGGAAGTGTAATTCTACGGCTCGCGCTCGCTGGCCTTCCTCTTATAAAATATTCCAAGTAAATAATCATAATAAGGCTTTGACGAACGCGCGTGCAAAGCAAAATTTGTTTTAGACTTCTTGCTTTAGAACAATTACTACTGCAGACGCCAGCACGTGCAACGCGTGTAACTACACTCGGTGCTTGGGGGGACGCTGTCTGCTTTTGTCTGCTATCAATAGACGCTTTGCACACGCGCCAAATTACAGCCGCCATTGCTGACCTTCTCTTGTCTTACCGAGATGTCGAGCAACTGAAACGGTAGTTGACGATCCTCTACAAAGGCCGATGCTTTAGAAAAGGACACAGTTGAATCTAATATGGATATAACCTGGTCTGCTATGGCAATGATGAAGTGAAGTAAACGGAATAAGAGGAAACAAAAGCTGAAGGTCAGTTATGGCGGCGTCCATGCACAGCTGCTACAAAGCGTCTATACCCGGCCGATTGAGTCAAGGCGATACACTTTCCAAAGACGTTGCCATGCCGACAATTATCGCCTTCATTTTGGGCTTAGGAATGGCCAGAATCGAAAGACAATCTAGAAAAATGCGGCGAGGTCATTGCTCATGCTTTGCGAGCAGTGAGGTAAGGCAAAGCGAAGGCCTCCTGTACCATTCGCTGCTGACTAGCGCGCCCGATATTGCAGCTTCAACGACATATTAGATCCAAAGCGCGCGGCGCTCACTCACCGGGGCACCGCCATGTTTCCCCGCATCCCTACCGAGCCCAGTCACGTGATTTCAAAATCCCTCTCCTAGGTACTGCGGCTAACTTTAGCCGCGGTTAGCGCTTCGAGCAAACGGGCCCTGATCTTTGAAAGCTGCCGCTGACGATAGCCACCAATGACTGTGCACAACAAGGACCTATTTCGCGTCCACCACAACTGCCGCCTTTTCGGACGTTACACAACCCATGTCAGGGATGGGCAGTATTTCAAATACAAGTATTTTAAATACGTGTTTCAAATACTTTGTGTATTTTGCATTTGTATTTAATTACAAATTGGGTAATGTATTTGACGTGTGTATTTAAATACTAAAACGTGGGTATTTCAAATACAATTGTAATCAAATACAATTTTGTGGGCAAAAATACATTCCCCAAATTTATTGTCACTGTCCAGAGCAGGAAGAAAACTATGTTCTGAACCAAATGCAGTGTCTTTCAATTAATCACAAGCGTTTAGTGACTTTGTGATTACGGTGTTAGTCCAGGTCAAGAATAGTGACGAAAGCGACGTTCACAGGCCGACTGGCTAAATAAGTGACTGTGACAACTTGTGATGCTTTCCAGCCTGATTTCCATCCATATTTTGCCTGAAACATTCTAAATGCGCGGGTCGTCCAGATTTTTGTAACTGGTGTGAGTAGCAACAATAAAAAATTATCCAGCTAGTGCTGCGCGTCTTGGTCGTCTCGGTTCTTTGTTTGTCTATAACAAAATGTAATCGACAAAGAAAGCTGCTTGAAGCTCTGTACTTTTTTCACCTATTACGTCCAAGCTGATTACATTTTTTTCTGATTATATTTCTATTACGTTACTAGAGCCTCGCACACTAACTCCCGAATGTGCGATGCAAAATTAAAATGAGATACCCAGAAACCCGTTGCAGGTGCCCTGAAGTCGCTGACGCAAATTTTGAGGAATGTATTCGGAAAAGTATTTGGAGGAGACCAAATACATTTGGTTGTATTTGTATCTTGTACTTAAATGTTATTTGGGAAATGTAATTAGATTTGTAATTAAATACATTTTCGACAAAGTATTTTGTATTTGTATTTCGATACATATTTTCATGTATTTTGCCCATCCCTGACCGATGTCAACTTACACCGCTTACCTGTTCGTTGTGCAGGACTCGAGGCGCCTTGATGACGGGCCGGTACCCGTATCGATTTGGAATGCAGGTAAGTTTGGATTTGGCACGATGACTTATATCGCCTATCGTTGTCCCGTTGTTGTCCAACGATAACCGTCACAACCTAAACAACAACAAAATGGCGGTTTCCTGTCATGTCCTGCAAATAACCAGTCTAAGTATAGATCGTTTCGATGCGCCCAATAAAAATAGAGAGTTTGAGGCAACCGTTTTTGGCGCTTCCGATACGGTGCGATGTGCCCTCCGGTATGAACTGCGCATGCGCTGCCGCAGAGTACTCGGACATGCGCAGTTTGTACCGGAGTGCCCATCGTGCCATATCGGAAGCGCAAAAACGGTTCCCTAAAGCTCTCTACTACCCGATAACGATATCGATGCACGTGCAAAGGCGGTGGCGGAGTATCGGGCATCGTTAATGGAGTCATCGAATAGCGTTTATGTGCCACTGCGACGTCACGCGACATTCTGACGTCACATGACGTAGTCGCGTGACACCGTAACATCATGCTCTTGACACAACGGCGTCACTTGACACGACGTTCTCGATGCATTTACCGGGTGGCTTTCTCCGCTAAACTGAGCCGATAAAATTGGGGTGTCACGTGACATGGCGTCACGTGACATTGTGACGACACAGTATCGCGTGACGTCATGATTCTCCGCCATATTTGGCGGAGGAGCGATTTAGCGGTTAATCACGCTGCCACGTAATCCTCTGATCCCCCGTCAAATTTAGCGGAACAAATGTGTGCTAAATGAAACCTCGCAAAAAACCATCTTAGCCGTGAAAAACTCGTTTTTTCGCCCCTCTCTGCCCCACCCCTTTCTGCCTCAGTCAGGACGACAGATCTAAAGACAGAGTGATCGCAGAAGCCAATAAGGTCCAGTTTAATCAACCAGTCTCTCGTCAATCTTTCCACATTTCGAACATCTCCCGGTGACTGGCAGGGACAGCAAGCTCAAATCAACCAACCAATCAATCATTTGATCGGCACCTGTACACGTACAGATCCCGGGAGGCAGAAAGAAGTGCAACAGTAGTTGGCTTAAAAATTGAGTTTTTTTAATATGGTATTTAATAATCAAATACCAAATCCCTTTAAAAAAAGTGTGTGGAAACCCGTACTTGTTTATTCTTTAATGCTCCGAGAAACAGAGGGAGATAAGGAGACGAGATCGCGCGGGTTTGTCAGAACGCCGAGCTCTGGTTGGAATGATGAGTGGGTTGGCCTAAAGCTAGCAGCCTTCGTCTCTACTGCGCTCGTCGAACCCGTTCAAATGCCAGAATCAAACTCCGGCGTTCCGCGTTGGACGAGTGCAGCGGGGACGAAGGCAGCTATTAGCGATGTGCGCGACCAAAAGCGTCGCTGCGGCCAGCTTTCCACGATTGGCCAAACCATGGGCATATCAGCGTTGTCAGATTGTCAACTTTGACGGTGTTAGTTTCTGATTCTTCCACTGTGCTTTTTAAACACACCATCGAACTCGTCGTTGCACCTGAAGGTAAGCAGCGAGGGTAACAACTGGTGACGTCACGGCGAGGCAAATCCCAGTCGTGACGTCACGGATGGAAACCATAAGAGGGCGCCACCTAAACATCTCGTGGCTAATAGCTTTAGGTCAGCGTGTAAGATATATACTCTACTGGGTGAAACAAGGAGACGGCAGACTCTTTAAATCGACCGCAAAATTCGGTTTCTTAACCTATTGCGTTACGACTTTGTGCAGCGTTGCTTACAGATGTGTTTTTGTGTGTGTGTGTGTGTGTAAAATTTGCAAAGAGCGAACTTACCCGAGGAAAAAGTAAAAAAAAAGAAAAAGGCTTAGCTCCTATGGAAACTCAGCGAAGCCACCGGTCTTCAAACAACACGGCGCCCTATGGTTTGAAAACCGGTGGTTTCGCTGCGTTTCCGTAGAAGCTAAGCTTTTTTCTTTTTTTTACTTTTTCCTCAGGTAAGCTCGCTCTTTGCGAATTTTATAGAAAAAAAATTGCACCACCTGTGGCCAACGCTGTACAAAATTGGAACGCGATAGGTTAAGAAACCGAATTTTGGAGTCGATTTAAAGAGCCTGACCGGTCCTTGAATCACCCGATATACCGGGTGAAACAAGGAGACGGTAGGCTCTTTAAATCGACCGGAAAATTCGGTTTCTTAACCTATCGCGCTACGACTTTGTGCAGCGTTGCCCACAGATGGTGCATTTTTTTCGTAAAATTTGCAAAGAGCGGACTTACCTGAGGAAAAAGTAAAGAAAGAAAAAGGCTTAGCTCCTATGGAAACGCAGCGACGCCACCGGTCTGCAATCAACACGGCGCCGTTTTGCACGGTAGACAAGAGATGGCGCAAGCGGTTGCGACGCCAACTGCCGCCAACAAACGAGCAGACGACGTCGAGAGCCGGCGTAATTAGCAGACAAGGAACTGCAGTTCCTTGTTGTTACCGCGCCTGTCTTTGTTGTTTCTGCGACTGTCGCCGCCTGCGGAACGCGCGCCGCTTTTGAGTCGAAAAGATCGTCTGCTAAAGAGCCTTTGAGGAATACCTCGGCCGGCTCTCGGCGCCCGTATGCTCGTTCGTTGGCGGCGTTCGTTGCGCCATCTCTTGTCTCCCGTGCAAAACGGCGCCGTGTTGATTGCAGACCGGTGGCGTCGCTGCGTTTCCATAGGAGCTAAGCCTTTTTCTTTCTTTACTTTTTCCTCAGGTAAGTTCGCTTTTTGCAAATTTTACAAAAAAAATGCACCATCTGTGGGCAGCGCTGCACAAAGTCGTAGCGCGATAGGTTAAGAAACCGAATTTTCCGGTCGATTTAAAGAGCCTACCGTCTCCTTGTTTCACCCGGTATATTACTTTAGGCCTAATAACTAATCGTTCCAACCTTCCCCTCTGCCTCTGTTTCTCCGCGCATATACGACCTCGTCGTTCTAATTTTACCAAAGTCTCCGGTATCCCATGTTCACCCAGTCATCACTATCCCCTAATCACAAAGTGGCTAAGTTTCGGCGTCTCCCAAGGAAGGCCAGCACATGGCTCTCATTGGACACGAGTGATGCGTCAGTCTTCGGTCGGGGCTCGTGCCTTCGCTGATTGGCCACGAGTAGCTTCCGAACGCTGACGTAGCTTTCGTGACCAATCAGAGCCCCGCGTTGGCCTTCTTTGGGTGACGCCAAAAAAAAATCAACACTAGCGAGTTTTAGATTAGGGGGCCCCACAGGCTTTGGGTGCCCCAAACAGCTTGAGGCGCCCAACCGCGCATGCGCAGAACTTCTGCGCATGCGCAGTTGGACGCCCCAAGCTGTTTGGGGCGCCCAAAGCTGTGGGACCCCTTATTGTAAAACTCGCTATTATGTCCACGGTGCCGGAAACGCGTCTCCGACTGGTGTGTTCACAGCGTACCAAAGAAAGTGTTGCCTCGATTTCCGCTTGGTGACGCCATAAAAGAGTCATGTCGTCGCCGATCGCGACCCTTGTGGTGCTACAACAGCGACGGCAAAGGACAAAGACGCCTTTTTTTTTTTTTTTTTTTTTTGCAGCAGGTCGTTTTTCAGGTTGACAGATAGTCCAGGGGAGCTTCAGAAGCCAGGAGTTGGGACGCCGCTACGACAGCGACACTCGCGTTCACTCGTGCTTTTCGACGAAACTTTTATGACAAGCCACCGGAATCGCGACATTCTACCGCATAACACTCTAGCTCTTGTGAGGTCATTTGTTGCCACTTGAGGACCGCTTTAGCCGTAGGTGCGCCCCTGCGGTTCAGGTGCACTCTGGGAGCAGGAAACTGTCAACGGATAGTTTTGGTTTCGGTTTTGCCGGGTTGTGCATCTGTCGTCTGCATGAGCAAAACGGGACGTTACATACACAAGTCGGAAACGCGTACCAGGCACCGCACTGTGGTTTTGTCACATATCAAAGGTTCTGATCCATTTCAACCACCTTGTTGCTTCCACCTGCCGCGTGACTGTTTGCACTTAATCCACGCAGAATGGCGTCATCAGGCCGCTGGAGCCCCAAGGGTTACCGCTGGAGCTCCCCGTCCTCGCCGATGAACTGCGACAGCGGGGATACTCAACCCACGCGATCGGCAAGTAAGTCCCTCTCCTGCTCACAGCGGCTATCTCTTCATAGATGGATGAATACAGGCAAACGACTGAACTCTTGAAATCGGGCGGCAGCTTGCGCCACTTAGCCAGCAGGATTCTGCAACACACCCTAGACGAGACAAGGCCTCCGAGTTTTTCTCCTGATGTCAAGGAGAGGAGGGAACCCCACGCCGTATAGCACATCTGTAAGGTGAAGGATTCTTTAGAATAGATGCACCTTCGTCGCAAAAAAACAAAAGTCTGTTGCTACAAGAATGTTCTATCATTCAAAAGTTCTAAGCATCAAGGAGAATGCTGGGAATTATGCATAGAGCTCCCTGATAAAGGCGTTTTTGTTTTACTAGTACCGCCAACCATTGTTGTAGAAACGCGCAAGGTACGTGCCGCGAGCGCGTACTCCCCAGCCATTCGCTTCCAAGGGCCGGTCATTTTAGTGCTGCATGCGCCGCCATTTGCTTCTCTGGGGCCGCTCGAGACACCTGCCTCATGCAGTGGCGCATTTGACGCTATTGCAGACGTGCGCGACAAAAAGCGTCACTGTCATCGGCCTTCCAGGATTGGTCGAACGCTCACTATGACGTCTTTAGTAGGATCGGTTCTTCTCTCATCGTCGGAAATAAGAGCAAAGTCAGACTCTCAGCTTTGACAGTCAGACTCTCAGCTTTGGCGGTGTTGATTTAGAAACGTGATGACCAGACTTCCACCGCATTTTTTACGCACCATTGAACTTGTCGCTCTCTACTAATAATATCCGTCGTGACGTCAGTGACAGGAATCATAGAGGGCACCATCAAAACATTTCGTCGCCAACACTTGCAAGACAAACGCAAACCCATCGAAGCCAGAGCCGTATAAGGAGTATTCACTGGGCGCCATACTTGTGGGTGCTGTCTTGAGCGCATGTTCAGTACGAGCCTCCATTAATAGGCTGCTAAGACCGGCCATTTTGACGGTGCGGAATGCACGTTGCTAAAGAACCCTGGAAGCCAGCCATCAGCACGCGCTCAGCAGTCGCGCACACAGCTATGGCCGCCAGTGAATACTTCCTATACAGAGAGGGTTTGGCCATAGGAGCCATTGGCTGAAAGCGAGCTGAACGTGTTCCAGCGCGTTCTCGCGAATTCGAACGTGTCCAACCAGAAACCGGAAGTAATACCCTGGCTGTGGTTACGAGGAACGAAAAACGAAACGAAAGTGCGTCGGAGTAATTTTCGGTGACTAAATATATGGTTTAAGTGATGTTTCAATCGCGATCATCCGAAACCATGGTAGAAGAGCACGACTAGCGGAACGATCGACATAATCCATACGCCAGGCGCCGAAGGCCGGAAATCTGGCGTCCGAGTGGTCAGACTTTGTCCGGGCAAAACAGAGTTTGAGCGGCACATTCGTTTCTTACGTCTTTTTGCATGATCATAATCAAGACCTCACGTGCACCATATTTTCAACCGTGGAGGGTTACTATACTTAACCCTTGCGCTCTTATTATAATCATATACTTATGATTGAAACTGTTTCTCGCTACCACCGCTAGGGGATTCTTTTCGAGTTCTGGTCGGCCAAGAGAGCATGCAAAGCCCTTTATCAGCGTCTGGTGAACGCCCTGACTCTGCCCGCTCCTCCCATTGACCAAACTCTCTCTATACAGGGCTTCTATCAAGGGGTTTTAGGTCTACGCAGGGTTTACGCGACGCAAGCGCTCGCCTTTCCGGTATGAAATTATTCAATGTAAATAACCAAAATAAGGCGCTGACGAACGCGCGTGCAAAATGTCCTTTGTTTTGGGCTTTTGCTTTAGAACAGTTACTGCCGCAGACAACAGCACGTGCGGCGCGTAGAACTACATTTACGGCATTCCCCTTGATACTTGGCTAATTTTTACTTCAGATTCAGAAAACACGTACCACACGTTGCTTTCTAACTTCATGGTGCGTGGACTCGATTATTGACCGGGAAGTTTGGAAATTATGAAGGAAATAAGTCTGCACGGCATAAACATTGAAGATGATCCGGTCACGACGCATTCGATAATATAAACTATCAGCAAACCGTTACCACGCTCCGCGTACGGCACTGCCGGAGCCCTTGAAGCATGCTTTTAATCGCGGACCTGAGTGATACTGTGACCGCGGTGCGCGCGCTTAAAAGCAACCTTCAAAGGCTCCGGTAGTGCCGTACGCGGAACACGGTAACGGTTTCCTAAAAGTCTCTATTAGCGGCAACATGTAGCCTCTCGAGCAATGTCGCCCTTTTCCCAACTAGGAACCGGCGAAAGGCTAGCGCGTGAATTACTAAGGTGTGTTTACCTAAGCCACACACTCCACCCCATAAACCAGGAGACGTACGATGTCAACAAAAATCGCACCAACCGTCCAGAGTGGTAGAATTGACCTGTTGCGTACACTCCACAAGTATCTTTTCCGAATACGCATCAGGGACCTGTTTTGCTCGCACGGGAAGGTGGCACCTGGGCTACTGCAAGTGGCAGTACACGCCCACCTTTCGAGGCTTCGACTCGTTCCGGGGATTCTACCTGGGCTCCGGGGACTATTACGAGCACCTGGGCAACGCGGAACTGGCCACCGAACGCCACCAGTTTGGTCCCGGCGCCCGCGTGGACCGGAAGGACCGCGGCAAGGTACCACGTGGCACGAAAGGCTACGACTTCCGCGCCAACAACAGCGTGAGCTGGGAGGCCCGCGGAAGATACTCCACGGTAAGCACGCGACACTGACACCGTCACTTAAACAAGACATCGGCCCTCGATTGCACTCGCGAAGTTTCGTCGATCCTGAGGTTCAATGTCAGCCTCCTCGGTGAATACGATTCGGTGCTCCGAGAGTAGCTCGAGGAAAAAATAGCGCCGCTCAACCGAGATTTCGGTAGCACGTCAAAAGATCCACAGCTTGTCGAAACGAATCCTCTCCTCCTCTAGGGGGTCCGTCGGGTGTGCCTCGTTGCTTTGACGCGTAGAGGAGACCCCTCGAATTTGTGACTTTTCAAGTGCAGTGTCGAGCCTCGTGGTTCGACTGGTTCGGCAAACCATCAAGCGTTTGGCGCAATGCGTCCAAGTGCAACTTTTGATGAGTGTTGCACGACTTCTGCAGCGTGCACACTAACGCTTCCATCTAACTTTGGACGGTCCGCATAACTCTAGTTCTTAACGTGCCCGAAGGTGGTGGAAGCGTTCACTAAAACTGTGGAAAAATTGGCTCACCTGAATAAATCACAAAAAGAAAAACGTGTGTTTTCTTTTTTTTTTTTTATACTGGGTGTATTAAGGAGTGGCCAGGCTCTTTAAATCGACCGGAAAATTCAGTTTCTTAACCTATCGCGCTCCGACTTTGTGCAGCGTTGCCCACAGATGATGTTTTTGTTGTTTGTTTTTTTTGTTGTTGTGAAATTTGCAAAGAGCGAACTTACCTGAGGAAAAAGTAAGTAAAGAAAAAGGCTTAGCTCCTACGGAAATGCGGCGAAGCCATCGGTCTTCAAACAATACGGCGCCGTTTCGCACGGGAGACAAGAGATGGCGCAAGTGGTGGCGATGCCAACTTCGCCAGCGAACGAGCATACGGCGCCGAGAGCCGGCCGTCTTTAGCATAATTTCTTTTCAACTCAAAAGTGGCGCGAGCTTTTATGATATCAGTTGCCAATGTATTATTTTATCATCCTTACTGATTATTTTATCATCCTTACTCTGGTTAGACACATATTGAATGGACACATAATCGATTAGAAAAAAGGTTTGTCGGGATATTTTCAATGTTTTTTTCGGGGTACCGATGTCGTCTGCTTTGCAGTTCCTTGTTGTTACCGCGCCTGCTTTTGTTCCTGTGTCGCCACCTGCAGAACGCGTTTCGCTTTTGAGTCGAAAAGATTGCCTGCTAAAGACGCCGGCTCTCCGCGCCGTATGCTCGTTCGTTGGCGCAGTTCGCATCGCGGTCGCTTGCGCCATCCCTTGCCTCCCGTGTGAAACGGCGTCGTATTGTTTGAAAACCTTTGGCTTCGCCACATTTCCATAGAAGCTAAGCCTTTTCCTTTCTTTACTTTTTCCTCAGGCAGGTTCGCTCTTTGCAAATTTTACAAAAAGAAAATTCACCATCTGTGGCCAACGCTGCACAAAGTCGTAGCACGATAGGTTAAGAAACCAAATTCTGCGGTTGATTTAAAGAGCCTAGCCACTCCTTGATACACCTAGTACTTTGCATGTGCAGTTAAATAATGTTTGGTGTCACTGTGGTGCTTATCTGGGCCAATTTAAATTACGAATAGAAAAACCAATTCTATTTTCTTTCCATTTCACCGATTTTTCAGTTCTAATAAACGCCAGAATAGTCCACAACAATTTTCTTGATTGTTTTGAAGAAAAAGAAGGCTTAGCGAACATTTTTTTCATAGACAAAACGAGTTTTAATTTTTTCTGTTGACTTCCGAGGTATCATATAGACGCTTTGCAGCAGCTGTGCATGGACGCCGCCATAACTGACCTTCAGTTTTTGTTTCCTCTCATTCCGTTTATTTCACTTCATCATTACCATAGGAGTTTGAATTATATTTTAGTGCATATATAGAAACATACATTTTTACCTTTCTGAAAGAAACCGATAAAATAAATCAATACGCTCGATAAATATTGCACACTTCTTCCGATAGGTGGCGCCAGCTCATTTTTAATTTCAGAGCATGCTCGTATTAGTCGAACGTCTGTCGAATATTTCCCGAAGATTCCGTCAGAAGTTCTCGAACCTCCCTAGTTGTAACCTGTCCGCAAATTCACAAAGACGACGCCACCTAGCGAAAAAAAAAAAAAAAAAAAAAAAAAAAAAAAAAAAAAAAAAAACGTCGAAAGAAATCATCAGGCGGCACGCGTCGCCCAGTCAGAGTTTTTAATATCAGCCGTAGAAACTGGCTCGGCTGGGCGGCCAAAATATGAAGATAAACGGGGATCTAAGTTGACAACAAGGGAGAATGCAGGGGGGGGGGGGGGGGGGGGGGGAAGAGAGATTCAAATCGGAGTTATTCTGGCAGTTCCAGCTTCTTCTGCAAACGCAGGTCGTGATAATAAGCACGATGACGTCTGTCTTAACGAAAAGATACGCTTTCGTTCTAAAATTAAGCCGAATTTCATCGAGGCCAAACAGCTTGCTCTGCAGGAACGCAGTAGTCTTCGACCCTTGACGCCAAGGTATGGGACGGTCAATGTCCTCTATCAGGTGGCCTTTCACCATTAGGGACGTGACCTTTCAAAGCTCGTCGCTAAGCCGTACTGTTTTTTTTTTGTTTTTTTTTTTTCGCTAATGAATTGAAATAGAGCCCAACCCTTAGACGTCGACCGATGGGCCGTCGACGCCGACAACGACAGTGAGGCACCTGCGACTGCGGAGCAGTAAGGTACCACTAAATAAGCTTACAGTATCGGCCACTGATCTCGCTGACAATTGCTGGATCGCGCATCCCGCTTGTTCGCTGCAGCGCGAGTGCGGCCACCGGACGGCCATCTTGCATGCCGTTTTTTCTCGTTTTGCTAGCGTTTTGCTAGTGTTTTTCTGCGGTTTTCCAGCGTCCTATAGACACGTTTACTACTCGTTCGTCGTCATTCGCCGAAGACGTTCTTTAAGATCCCGGGTGAGGCGTGATACTTGCCGTTGAGAGCACGTGGAATGTTTTACGAAAGCGCAGTGCCGCAGGAAAAAGGCACAACTCGTCTAAAGCAAGTTTTGCCGGTCTGGCGGCGTGTTCAAAGCTTCCTTGGCACGCCAAAGTGCTGTGTCTCTGTGCCTTCGCACGCTTGGATACTGTTCAAGAATCGACGCCGTGTGAATGTGTTTTGCGACTGCAATGTGCGTGAAGCCGTATGTGACTCTGGATCACCGTCTTATTTTACACTGACGAATATATACTTGCGGCACTCGCGGTCCAGAAACGAGCTTAATCCAGCGTCCATAAGCGACGGAAGTGGGGTGGAAGGTACGCCTTTTTTTTTAGCTCTTAGACGATTTGCAGAATACTGCGCAGAACAGCTCTTCATCACTGATCAGTGCTGGCTCATTATCAACCTACTTAATTGCAGTTGACGTTTGAGCGGGACTCGCCGAATTGTTATTGGTCAACAGTTTGAACACGACCATATGGGCCGCGCTTCTAAGATTTTCATTCTCGGCGTCTTGTACTTTTGCTTTCGAAAACCCTCCTTGCTCCACAGCTTTGCTTTATTCGTGCTCCCATGTGATTCATTAGAGTAGATTTTGAACACAGCTATAATAAATAGTACATAATAACACGTATACATCCCCCCTTTATTGATAGCAACTCACCGGAACAGCTGGACGATCCAGAACTCCGTGGCCGATATACTGGGTGTATCAAGGAGCGGCCAGAGTCTTTAAATCGACCGCAAAATTTAGTTTCTTCACCTACCGCGTTCCGAATTTGTACAGCGTCGGCCACATGTAGTGAATTTTTACAATAAAATTCGCAAAGAGCAAGCCTAACTGAGGAAAAACTAAAAGAAAAAAGAAAAAGGCTTAACTCCTATGAAAACGCAGCGAAGCCACCGGTCTTCAAGCCATAGGGCGCCGCATGGTTTGAAGACCGGTGGCTTCGCTGCGTTTCCATAGGAGTTAAGCCTTTTTCTTTTTTTTTTACTTTTTCCTCGGGGCTCGATTTTTGCGAATTTTATAGAAAAAATGCATCACCTGTCGCCAACGGTCCACAAAATCGGAACGCGATAGGTTAAGAAACCGAATTTCGCGGTCGATTTAAAGAGCCTGGACGCTCCTTGATACACCCAGTATATATAAATGGTCTAAAGGAATCTACGCGCGAAACACATTCAGAACATTGGTGCGGCGGCGATTCTTGATCGGTATCCAAGCGTGCGAAGGCGCAAACCTGCAGCGCTTGGCGTGCCAACGAAGCTTCGATCACGCCGCGAGACCGGCGACACTTGCTTTCGACGAGTTGTGCCTTTAGATACGGCTTCACGCATATTGCACTCGCAAAACACATCAAAACGGCGTCGATTCTTGGTCGGTATCCAAGCGCGCGAAGGCACAGGGACACATCACTTCGGCGTGCCAAGGAAGCTTTGAACACGCCGCGAGACCGGCGAAACTTGCTTTCAACGAGTTGTGCCTTTTTCCTGCCACACTGCGCTTTCGTAAAAATTTCCACGTGTTCTCAACGGCAAGTATCACGTCGCACACAGGATATTAAAGAACGTCTTCGGGGAATGACGACGAACGGGTAGAAAACGTGTCTGTTGCAAGCTGGAAAACCGCAGCAAAACGCTAGCAAAACGAGAAAAAACGGCATGCAAGATGGCCGTTCGGTGGCCGCACTCGCGGAGCGGGGATACTCAATCTTACCGGCACTTCATTCCCCGATTGTCTTGCGGGATGGATGGAAGGATAGGCGGATGGACAGACGGACGGACGCTAACGGCTGTATATCTTTTATAACGGGCGATTGCTTGCGTCACCTAGCCACCATTTTTTTGTGCTAAGTGCAGAGCGGGCGCTATTGGCAATCCTTGCGATTCGGAACCGCAACTGTCTGAGTTTTAAATACGGTGTCGGAAAGCTCAAGTGATACTGTTTTGCCCTCTCGCGGACTGTTTAAACATACCTGGAGGACGGACAAGCATTTTCTTCGATGTCAGATAACTGGGAAGGAACGTTTTCCAGTTTACACCAGCTTACTGGGACACCTAGTGGGTCCAAGAATATACTCGAACGCAACGCCACTGACCAAGAAACGTTTTTGTCGCGGCGGAATTTCAAGAATAAAAACTGACCTTTTCTTTCAGTCTCTCCTTCGCAAAAACTGATGACGGAGGGGACAATGCCAACAATGCGATCCCCAGGCGTGCGTCATCAAGTTATGTGGTCCCCGTTGTGATGATATTTAAATGTTGCTCATGCAGTGGACACGAATGCTGCGTAGGCATTCGATTTTGGCTCGTGACAGTGAATGCCTCGGCATGCATTCGGATAGAGTAAACGGTGTTTGTTTTTGTAGAATCTTTTTTTTTTCTTTTTTGTGACTGCCATTGCATAGAGAGAAAAAAAGCGACGTGTGTTTCATAGGTTATGAATGTAAAGGATTAATTCTAAGTTGTAGTTATTTAAAGTGGAAAATTTGTTACATCTCCGTGTTGTAACTGCAAAGCGTACCTTTCTCCATTCGTCAGCGCAGACTATTTTCGGCAAGGAAGCGACGAAGGTGGTTCGACGAAGTTCCCGTCATGGGCGCCCCGTGTTCCTGTACTTGGCCTTCCAGGCCGTGCACGCCCCATTGCAGGTGCCTGCCAAATACGAGAACTTGTACCGCCACATCCACAACGTGGATCGGAGGCGGTTCTGCGGTAAGAGCATCCATGCAGACGACGAAAGTTTGCAGCATTAAAGGTGTTAAATGGAGCGACTTACACCCATGGCTACACATTTTCAGCACCTTTTCAATGAATTCACCATTTTAATGTGAAATAGGGCGCCGCCACCTAGCCGAAAGACGTAAATAAGAGAAATGGGAAACAACCGCTTATGAAAAATGGGGAGCTACCGCTTATTCAAGTGTGCAGCGAAAACTGGCGTATCCTGACGGCCAAAATGTGAAACGGAGGAAGAAGGAATTGAATTCGTGCCGCTGGAGTTGCCACCGCTACCCGCACTTGTAGATGATAGTTTTCTTCATAGTTTCGTGGGGCTCAAACTCGTGCAAGGTTTTTTAAAAATATGAAGAAAAAAAAAATGGTATTACGAGCACTTATTTTTGTACCCCAAACAACTCATATAGGGCTGTCCAAACAGAGGACCTTTTTTTTAAAGTTCACGGCATTTCTTTTATTAGAAGTGTAGATTTTTCCCCGGTTCCGGTCCGCTTTTGAACGTGGTTGCCTTTTCCCGGGGGAAAGCTACCCTCCGCTTGTCCTTAAAGTCTTGGAGCGTGCTCTTCACGTGGGTCCGGACAACCACTCACACGTTCTACTTAGGGAGCCTTCATGTGCGCTTTGCTCACATGAAGGCACTCTAGTTCTACTGGCTGTCACCAGGTCCTCCACTCTTATTGTCAAATGCGATTCAGTTTGGTATCAAACACCGTAGAAATCTCAACTGCAGATCTTGCGGTTTGGAAAGCCATGTGATGCGGAAGGCGATCAAGTGACCTTTTTGTTCCCTCGCCCGAGACATGAAAATAAAGTTGAGCCAAAATACGTTGACTGATGTTTCAAACAAGTGACATTAAAAGGGTTAAGGCAGAGCGAGGCCATGAAGCGGGGAAATGGAAGTGCGGCTGGTTTCTGGCGCTTTGCGTAAGTTTAAATATCTCCAACTCCGAATGCGGTTAGTGGAAGACGAAAAACGTCAACGCAAACGTCACACTACTCATAAGAATTTTGCGCTTACCAGTGTCTGTAACCCAGAACCATATTTAAATTAAACCGCGCTTTACTCGAAAAAAAAAAAAAAAAGTCGGCAGCATATTACAGAAGTAATGCTAAATACGCTCTCTTTTTGTTTTGTTTCTTGAGGAAGTTCACACATTGCGAAGAAGAGGCAGAAAAAAGAACGTCCGATTTTATCTCCAAATTGGCAAATTTTCTACAAGAAGAACAAACAAGTTCCTGGACTGGTTCGCTGGTAAAGGCCGGTAACCCTCTTGGTGAATAAAATAGCCGCGAGAGGGACTTTGAGGTCACGTGACAGGGCTCTGCGGTGAGAAAGTACCTAACGGCCCAGCCGATTCCACTCGGCAAACGTAAGCCTTGCCTGTCGTCTTATCTCTTTCTCTCTTAACAGAACCTTCCCCACAAACTTTACACCACCGGCCGCTTTTAAAGCAGACGAATACAATTCATTTCAGCTGCATTTCGAGCCTGATCGCATCCTTTTCATACTCGCGAAATCGGACTTGAACATACGAATGGAGGAGGGATTAGTGGCCGCCATTTTCCTGGAACGCTATGTACCTTTAGTTTTCTCTTCCCCACAAAGCCTGTCATGTCGTATAACCGCAAAATCGCTCTCGCGGCTCTTTTAACAGCCGGGAGAGATATCCGTACTCACCAGCAAACCGGGCCATACCTGGGCTCATCGCCTTATCTGAGTTGTATCCCCTGTAGGGATGGTGACGGCCATGGACGACGCTGTGGGGATCCTAGAGCAGGAACTGATCAGGCAGGGCCTCTGGAACAACACCGTGCTCGTCTTCACCAGTGATGTACGTGCACTCGATGCGTGGTGCGCATAACCCGGTCTCCATAAAGCCATAAGTATGACCGTTCTCGATCAAGGAATCTGAAAACGGGCATGCTCTTTTAAAGACGTCGCTTCATAGCGCTTTCGTGTCCGCGTCTATAATCTAACCCCGATGACGTCACGCAGCACTGTGACGATGACGTCATAATGTTACTTTACGGGTTAAATGACACCATGACCTGACATCGTGACGAATTTTTGTCACGTGACCACGTGTCGTAAACACACGACGTAATGGCGCGACGCCATGGTGTAACGTGACGTCATTTGACGTCACGTCACGTGGTAACGTAACGTAACGTCAGGTGGCACCGTGGTGCGAGACAGATACCTAAAAATCATATATGCATTTAGGGCGTTTTGTGATTCGCCTAAAAGGCAGGCAGTTATTTCTGATCCGAGAAATACCCAATGTTTCTAAAAACAAAATACTAACCTTAATAGTGAGAGTGAGATAAAGGTGGGGGGCCATGTTATGGTCCAGTCCGTCAAGAATGCGAACGGAAGTTTATTTTTTTGACCACAGGTGCTAAATAGTTTTTAGCAAGCTTGCGGAGGAGTACTGCGATGCTTTCAGATGAAAGCGCGTGGCGACGCGCATTCTGAGCGCTGGGTTCGTGTGCGGCACGCGTGCAGAACGGCGGCCAAGTGCTGGCCGGCGGAAACAACTGGCCGCTGCGAGGCAACAAGAACACGCTCTGGGAAGGGGGCACCAGAGTACCCGGCTTCGTGGCCAGTCCGCTGCTCAAGCGCAGGAACTGCATCAGTCACAGGTCACCTCGAGTCTTCATAACCTCCCGCACTCAACACAATGAAAGCCTCCTCGTACGTGTCCATGTCCTTGGAATCATAAAAATAATCATGATGTAGCAAACCCGAGACTGTGGTAAAAGCTGGGAAACTTGGTCGAAGAAGAAGGACAGGGGAAAAAGAACGTCTCGAAAAAACGTCTTGAGGCGTTCGTTTTCCCCTGTCTTTCTTCTTCGACCAAGTTTCCGAGCTTTTACCACAGTCTCGGGTTTTCTACATCATGATCGACATCCGCCAGCTTGCCTGCGCACTCACTGTTTTTTCATTGAAAAAATTAATAGCTGCTTTTTGGCGTCATGGTTATAGTCCCAAAAGTCCAGTAACGATGCCGTTGAACGTCCGGTGGTCGCGTACTTCCCGCGTGGTATTTGAAAATTCGTGTAAACCTCGAGGATTACTTCTGCGCTACGCCTTTTCCCCTCTCAGTTTGGATGAATAGCGAGTTTTAGTGGATCATGTTTCCCCCTCCGCTAAGCCCGTCCGCTACCCGGAACTTTAGGGAGTTTTCGTAGATCGTTTTCGCCGTCCCGCAAGGCCCTCCGCAACCCGCTACGATAGCGGGAACTCCACAGTCAAGGCTATCGGCGCGCAGGCGCAGTAGCAACTTCTTCGCTGCGTAACGCTTAGCGGAGGGGGCAACGCGGTCTACGAAAACTCCCTTTTACAGCCAAGGCCATCGGCACGCAGGAGCAGTGGCGGTTTCTTCGTAGCGGAGGGTTAGCGGAGGGGGAAGCACGGTCTACTAAAACTCGCTAATAGGGAGTTTTAGTAGACCGTGTTTCCCCCTCCGTTAGCCCTCCGCTATGAAGAAACCGCCACTGCGCCTGCGCGCCGATGGCCTTGGCTGTAGAGTTCCCGGTAGCGGAGGGGCTTAGCGGAGGGGGAAACACGGTCTACTAAAACTCGCTAATATTTTCTCTTCTTCACATGTCGTATCGTTTGGAATGAAACGCACAAGGTTGGAGTTCCACCTCGAGACACTTTTCGCGACGAGGGAGGAAGGCTCGAAGCCTGAGACTCGCGCTTGCAGCTTTGGCTTCTCTCGCGGAGTTCATACATCGAGTTATGCCGAAGTCGTTCGGGCCGGCCATCGTCGTGTCTTCTTTGTGCAGTGTGGTGCACGTGACCGACTGGTTCCCCACCCTGCTCGGTCTTGCCGGCGGCACCCCGGCCCCCGTCGGTCTAGACGGGGTGGACCAGTGGGCGGCCCTTAGCGAGTGCGGGCCGTCGGCCCGGGGGGGCTTCGTGTACAACCTGTTCGACCAAACGCCCCTCACCGGCGCCATCAGGTGAATGCCTCAGCCCCCCGGTGGAGCGTACGAGTAGACCCTGCAAAAGTAATTAAGTTGCGTGCACGTTTAGACCGCCTGGTTTAAAAAGTTGGAAGTTTGTCAGCCCCAATGCGTGTCAGGGAAAAACCACCTAGAAGAACCAAGGCGCGCGAATATCGTCCACTTTCTCCGTGGCAAGTCATCGCAGTCGGATGACGTCAGCAGCTGGACTCAATTCCGATATGGAGCGTCCTTTGATTGGACACGAGGCCTTGACGAACTCTGACGTAGCTTCTGTGTCCAATCTGTGCCTTCGCTCAACCTCTCTGTGATGACGTCAAATAGTGCACATGCCTTGATTATTTCAGGTGGTGTTTGTCAGGGTTGGCTTGCTAGAAACAGCGTCTTTGATAAAACTGTGTGGAAAAAAGCCTACCAAGCCTGCTGGGCGCCCGTGTGCCTAAAAGTCGACTTTACGAGCCACTCCGCTTGCATATACATAAATGCCGAGAAACTAAGGGAGATGAGGAGACGCGCAGGGACGTTAGAACGCCGAGCTCTGACTGGAGTAATTAACGGGTGTAGACGTAAAGCTAGCAACGTAAACGCGGAGTGCTAGACGCCGCCGCTCAGTGATCGAACACGTTCGAAATGTGAGTAGAAACAAAGGCAGCTCTTTACGTCAAACATCATCCGAATGGGAACTCGGCCTTCTGACGCCCCCCTAGCTCTCATCCTCTCCCTGAAAGCTTTGCTGGTACTTTCTTTCAAAGTCTTAGCCAAAATTCTGTTTCGATAATGCCGGCCCTGGTGTCTCTGCTGTAGATGAGACATTTAGCTCGTGCTGTACCACTTCTAGCCTGAGGTCTTTAGCGTGCATCTCGCAGTAGTGATATATGAGCGCACTTTGGTACACAATGCTCATTCAGACCTAAACCGGTAGGGGTGGAGATTAAACCCAAGGTCCCTGCAGCTACTGCAGTGGTAGCTTTCACTCCAAGTGCTTTGAGCTGCAGCGCGAAAGTTTGTTGGTTCTTCGCTGAATATTTATGCCGTTGAGTTCAGTCTTTGGAAGAACATAGTGTAGTTAGAGGAGCTTTGAGAACAACTGATGGAGTCATGGTGAGCGGTCCTTCACCCCGAAATGAATGACTGCATCGAATTGAACCGGTGCAGGTTCGGCGATTACAAGTTGCTGCACGGATCCGGCGGCAGGCCCGATGGCTGGTATCCCGAACCCCTGCTAGGAAAAGCGAATATCGACAAAACGGGCCCGAAAACGAACCTCACCCTGTTTCTGTTCAACGTTCGCGGTGGGTACAATCACGGCGTGGACATTTTTCTTTTACTTATTTTTTTTTTCCTTTTTAAAGCGCAGCTCTTACGCGCTTGTTTTCGCGTTACTATCGATAGTCGACTATGAAAGAACTATCGATAGTACCATCGAAAGTCCGCTATTAAGAACTATCGATAGTACTATCGATAGACGACTGTCGATAGTTTTGCGACACTATCGATAGTTTTGGAAAAAAAAACTCGATCGTATCGATAGTCAATTTATCGATAGTTTTTCGTCACTAATTCATGGTCGAAGTAGGAGGCAACGGGGTGAAGAGGAGGAAAGGCGCCCGGCCGTTGCGGAAGCCATAAAACATCAGTGATGACATCACGCGACCAGCCAGAATTTTGCGGCTTCCGCTACCCCCAAGTCAGATTCCCGGGAGTGGTCCATACCAAACAAAAATGCAAGGGCTGGAACCAACGTTACTAAAACACTCAGTTGGGAAACTCCCATAGAGACAGCTTTGAAAAAGTGGCCCCAATCTGTCTCCGAGCACCGAGCTAATGACGAACACAACGCCACCATTTCTCCCGCAGCGGCCACTCGAGGAACTGCACGTGACTTCTATTTTGGCTCTAAGAACAGATACAGCAGAAGAGGTTACAGGGGGTGCCACCCCCGTCTCTCCGGCGGACGCGCCGCGTCGAACAAGCGAAGTTAAAATGCACCTAGGTCGGGACGCGCTACCTGAAAGCCCCGCTGAGGCATGGTTGTATAAAAACAATATTAATTGTGCCGCAAAACCCTGCAAACTAAAGATTTTAAAATCATAACGCGCCCCTCTTTTTGTACTAAACTCCAATAAATTTCATACAAAAAGAGTCTTTTCCGTTGGTTTTTACGCAAAAACAGGCTTTCAAAAAGCTCAAGGTGACCACAGTACAGACAAATGACAAAGAGTGGCGCTGTTTTCGCATTTAGCTCGGTTTCGGTGGACGCCAGCGGCCCAGGTTTCGATGGCGAGTTTCCCAACTGAGTGTTTTAGTAACGTTGGCTGGAACAGATTTTTGTGTATGGTTGTGTTTGAACGACGCACCGCTGCACAGGCGGCCGGAGCAACCGATCAAGTGACATCACAGTGGTTCTCCAGGTGACCAATCACAATAGACAGTTGTAGTATAGCGTTGCTGGCTCTTACGCAGGCTGTACGCAGAAGTATAGCGGTATACGGTAAAAACGACCGCCACACTTTCAAGAGAAAAGGGTGTAAAAGGGTGTATCGTTACACCTTTTGTCCCATATAATACACCCCAAAAACTTCATTTCGACGTACAGCGCACTACAGTCGAACAGACGGCCCCAAATTTTCCGAGGTGCTTGATAGCCGTGTTAAAACTTATTAAAATAGCTAATGTACGTGTTACTAACAAAGACAATAATCGGGGTTTCCCTGGCCCTGTAAAAACTGGGTGTTTTTTTATCTGGTCTTTGATACGTACTTTAGCTATTTCAATAAGTTACATCGCACCGTTATCGAGCCCCTCGTAAAATTTGGGGCCGTCTGTTCGACCATAGGGCGCTGTGCGTCGAGGTGAAATTCTGGGGTGTATTATATGGGACAAAAGGGTGTAACGATACACCCTTTTACACTCCTTTTTTTTAGAGTGCATGAACCTATTTTAGTTGTGCGTTACGTTTCCGAGTGAACACCTCGGATGATATCGGCTAAATCTGCCGCAGCCGTAGAATTCCGCGTGATAATAGCGCCGCCATGCTCATCCAAATAAATATTAGGAATGAAAACGTTTCCAATCATTTTATTTCAAATAAAGTCAATCTGCAGCTGCCTGGTCAAGCCGGCTTTTCTGCGAAGTAGGGAGGCTACGAGCACTAGCGCGTAGCTAAATTCGATCACGGAGCCTCCGAAAATCATCCCGTGGAAACGGTACCTTTTATAAATACTTTAGCCGGAAGAAATCTGACCTGGTGATGTCCAGTGCACAGCAACAAGTTGGACGACTTTTTTAAAAAATTTTTAAGAGTCGTTCGTCCGTCGGCGATGAACTGCGTGGAGAGGATAAGCGTTGAGCAGATCGCATCGTTCACGCACATTGCGAGCGGTGAACATTTTCACTTCGCACTTCTTCAGCTGCACGGCGATGTAACTTGACCACGGTAGGTCCCGGAAAGAATTGCCGAGCTGAACACCACGCAATTTCACGTAACACAGAACTTCGCGAACACCATGTCGCCGCCCTTGCTGCGCCATTCGAGGTAACCGCCATCTTGAAACTGGTGCTCTCGCTGGGCCCGAGGTCTATCGAGAGCTTCCCGCGAAGTACTCTAGCCCTCAACGCAAAATCCCCAGCGTTGCGTGCGTACGCAATACGCTAGTCCTTCTGTTGTGTTCTGCGCATGCGCACTCCCAACCCGCAAAGCTTTATCGTACGGTCCACTAAAGCTCTCTAATGTGTGTGATGTCACGATCAGCAGCTGTTTGAAATTAACGCGAGGGGTTGAAGAGGGAGTTTCGAAAGGGAATTATTCCTTGCACTGGCCGCAGCGAGAAAGGGAAATGTGTGCAGTGGTGGACGCTATGGGCGGTATAATAAAAAAAAGGCCCCTTTTGTGGGAGTTTTGAGTGGCTTCGATAGGCACAATACAACAAAAGCGGCTGCCGCGTCCTCCTGCACCCGCATACCTAAAACGTGGTCCGCGTTTTTTTTTTTTTTTTCGAACTGTGTTTGCAGATGACCCCAACGAGCACCACGACCTGGCCGCACAGAAGCCCGAGCTGACCGCCTGGCTGGACAGTCTACTCATGGAGCAGGCGGCAACAATGGCCCCCAGCATTCAGACGCCGGATGACCCTCGGGGCGACCCTCGCAAATTCGACGGCGCCTTTTCGCCCGAATGGTGCTGACTAGGACTGGGCGTCGATTAAAAGTTGCAACTCGATGAACCGCCATCTTTTAATCGATTAATTAATCGAATCATCGGTCTCGATCCTTTAATGCATAATGACGTGAAAAGTTTTTTTTTTTTTTTTTTAGTATAATATAAACGGGGCGGGATGAGGACGATTCGTCACATGCACACTCGTCACAGGATGATTGGTCACAGGACGATTCGTCACATAGGAACATTCGTCACAGGATGACTCGTCATGCGGGAAATTGGTCACATCGAGGGGGGGGGGGGGGGCGATAGCAAACTAAATTTCAACAACTGCCCACATTTTCTGATACTTCCCACTGTGACATAAACCAATGGTTAGAAAAACTAATCTTACAATACTCATCCGCTTTTCCTTTCATCATATTACGACTCTTCAGCAGGTTGACCTAAGTGGCTAGCTTCAACGAGCAATAATCCGACTGGCAGCCAAATCAGTTTTTACTTTGCCTTGCATACACCTCTTCGAGAAAACCACTAAGTATCGGAATTCTTTCTGCTGCGTGTGTACGAGTACCCCTCGTGCAGCTGCGTGGCTCCACCTCTCTCTGTTGCGATCACCTCCATCCTTTTGAATGTAGTCTGAGTTCAAGAATAGTCGCTTTTATATGGCCTCCGCGTTCACCGTTCGGGACGAACCCAGAAGCTAAAACGTCTGTTACGAATTCTTCGACCTTGAGAAGCGAAAGACATACTAAGATAAGAGGTGACCCACTTTGTGGGACACTTTGTCAGGCCGAACGAACATCAATGTTCGGGACCGAACCAGAAGCTAAAACGTTTGTTACAAATTGTTCGCCTTTCAGAAGCCAAAGACATATGAGGTGAGGCACGTTTTCCGCCCGAACCAAATTGAACCATCGATTTTTGGGGGGACGAACTATTGTAGGACCGGTTGGCCGCGTGACGAGTCATCCTATGACGAATCTTCCTGTGTGACGAATCATCCTGTGACCAATCGTCCTGTGTCGAGTGCGCATGTGACAAATGGACCGTATCCCAAACGGCGCAATATACAATTTCGATTATGAATCAACCTTGATGTGTGGGTAAACAGTTCAAAGCACTCACACTCGCATATTATTACTTCAGCTGCATGAGGCAAAGAGGTCAGTTTATATTCTCCGGCGGGATGCGACTTTCTTTGTGTGTCCACAATAGTCTCTGCTGTGCTAACACACACTAGAACGGCGTTGAAGTGGCCGGGAGATGTGTAACCATCTGCTCTTGTCAGGAGTTACAAATCTTGCTCATACACTTTAGGCTAAAATTTGACCTAAAGTTTGCCATTCATACAGGTGTACTCGTCGACGTCTGCCTGGTGAAAGCGTCTAATTTTTGCTTTCTTTTGGTTCGTCAAACATTTTACCGATTAACCGGTAAATAAAGTTATTCGCGATTAAAGCATTAATCGGTAGGTTTATCGACAAATTATTGACGTGTACAGAGCAATGAGAAGAATCAAGCACCCCTCTGTAGTACAGTATCTTGCTACTTATGACATTACAAAATAATAGTGACTCCGAGAACTCACCAGATATAAATCAAAGCAAGTAGAAACTTTGGAATATTCACACAGAGCAGGAGACCAATGAAAATGGTATAGCCCAGATCAGATCACTATGCTCGATATACACGAGCAAGCAAAATATTTTGTTTTTCATAGTTAAGCAGACAGGAAGCAGGGAACTACGAATAGTTAGTGTGCTGATGGGTGTCTACAATAAATAATGTGCCGAGAGAACCGGCGTTTTGATGCAGTTACCTAGGCATGTGCGAATAGTCGATTTTGATATCGAAGCGGATTCGAAGCAAATAGCGGTTTTTGAACGAATATTTTAAAATCGAATATCGAATTGTTTTCCCAAGCTTTTCACTATTTGCACCATGCCTAAACGAAAACCCATCTGAACTCGTAAAGGTTGTTCCCAAGTTTCCACTTGTAAATATATACGCTAATTTTTTACTCTATCTGTATTTATGGATTGTGACCTCAGAAAATCAACTTCGGGAATGGCAAGCAAACGATGCATTTCGCATGAAATTTAACCTGTAGAAATATCCAGTTTTACCTAATCAATGCGATGTATAAATCATCTCGCAATATGCAAATTTTATTGATTAAATCTAAAATTAAAAAGAAATACACTGTAAGGAAGATTCATTGGTGGATCCTCAGGGATGCGCTAGCATGACCATTGGGAAACACCACAAACATCCCCTTTGCAAAACGCTAAACGCTGACCCCTTCACCTTTCTGTTTCGGCTTTCTCTTTTGCTTCCTCTATTTTTCGCTGCCTCTTCTTGGCTTCGTTACGGGGTCAGTGTTAGCATTCCCCAAAAGGGAGACGTGCGTGGCATTTCCCTAAAAGTCATGTTAACGCGTTTTCTGAGGATCCACCAATGGATCTTCCTTTAATTTTTACCGCCTATTTGGAGCAGCAAAAGTACTTGGTTCACACTCCTTCTTATGGCACAAACCAAGGCATACGCACTCCGCAGACTCGCCCCAGCATCCGCGCGCGCCTATTGGCTTCCACCCCATGACGTCACGTCCCTCTCGCCTCTTTGCTACTCTCCCCCTCTCTACGGGGCGCGCTTCCCTCTCCACCCTTTCGTCCACAGACGGACGCCGTCAGCCTTTCCCTGTCATGTGAGTACCAACGCGCATTAATAAAAAAAGACAATCATGAATGATCAACGAAAGTTGTCCGGACATCTCTGCCTAACATATACTCTTGCACAAAAGCCGCAGTTTATTTTGAAAACTTTACTGTAGTGTGGAGATCAACATTCACAAAGTTTCCGCTCCTTGTTACACACACCACGCGCGCGCGTGCACCATCCCGCTTTGGAGCTGTGCAACGAGTTTAACGTTGAAAGAATTGGCATATTCTGCTTTTGATATTGTTCACTGTGTCACAAATGGCAGAAAACACACCTCCTTTCATCGAAATGTTGCGATTCCGCCGCGTAATAGCGAGGCAAAACTTAGAATATTTCCCGACCTGCAGCCACGAGCGGCGGCCATGAGAAACACGCGGCGTGACGTCGATAGGGAATCTTGTAGAAAGATACCAGGTTGTGTGAATACCTGCTCGATAAAAGGTAACTTTTCTAAAAATCTTGTCGTTCCAACATATATATAAATGCGTCAAAAACTTGGTATCATCGACAAAACCTTTATTATACGGAGTTTTAGTGGCGCCATCTATCCTCCTAGGTCCACAAAACCGCGAACAGCCGCCAGAAGCCAAAGGGGGAGGGGACAGGGCCGGACGGGTATGGCCGGACCCGGATGAGACTTTCCTCCTTTCACCATATTGTTCGCGCGGCACCCGCCAGCACGTGGTCACGCGGTCGCGAGCGGATGAGTTAATGCTGCTCGCTGATGGCTCTAAAGAGAGAACTTTTCCGATACCCTGCGCCTACCCCCTCAAAGTCACTGCGCACGTGACCCGGAAGACGATGTACGAGTTGAGAGGCGGCAAAAACTTGGATCTTTTTTCTTTTTTAAAATAAAAACTAGGGTATCCAGGCAAAATCTATTTTCTGTAGTTCACTACAGAAGTGTCAGGCATCAACTTCCACGATTATTTAAGCAAAGCTCTGAAATTGTTGCACAGCTCCTTTAAAAAGCCCATAAAAAATTATTTTTTTTTTCAAACAGTTTAGTCAAAGCACGCGTGTCAAAAAAAATTACGCGAAAAAAATATTTTAAAGCAATATCGACTGCTCGAGACGCGATTTGGTCGGTAGTCACCTCCTTTCCACTTGTTTTCTCTCTCGGCATTTCGGGCGTCTGGAGGAGAGGGGAATCGGCTTCACCATCACGTTGAGGTGGAGAGAGTGTATGACCATCTCGTTAAGGCGGAAAGAGTGTATGATCATTTTGTGACGTCGTGGACTTTGAGCGCAAAATTTAAAACAAATCTCGCGCCGTCAATACTGCTCCAAAAATTTACTTTTTTGCCACGCGTGTCCCAACCAGATTGTTAACTTTTTTTTTTTAGAATTACTGCAATATTTCTATTTTTCGAAGTATTGATCGCGGCAGAATAGCCCCGTTGAGCGCGCATCTTAACGAGCATCCGTGCATTGCGGAGAAGCAATACCCGCAAAAGCGTGCTCCGCGGGTGTTGTTTCTCCGCAGTACATCGTTGCTAAGCAAGAAGCGCGCTTAACGGGGCTGTCCCGCCGCGGTCAACACTTCGAAAAATACGAATATCAGAGTTCATCTCGAAGCGAATATCGAACACCGTATTATTCAAAACTGCTGTTCGAAAATACGAATATTCGCAAAACACTACAGTTCTTTTATTATTTCTTATATCTCCGTTTGCGTCTTTGATGCGCTTAGCCGCGCCATCGTATTTATTTAAATTTTTGCGTTGGTAGCAAGGGGCCGCGGTCCGGTCTTCACTGTAAAGACCTCGGCCACCTGCGGGCCAGTCTGAACGCCTCCGCGGGCCGAGTCTGACTTGCGGGTCGGGTTTTGGAGGCCCCTGCCCTAGAGCAAAGACAGTTCAGCCATATGTGCTCAGAATTAATGTTGCTATTTGACACCAGATTTTGCCAACGTGCATGACGGAAGCTGCATGCTGTGCTTTCCGCCATCCTGTCAGAGCAATTGTGAAAACAAAAAAAATGACTGACTCCCTTCCCCCCCCCCTCCCCCCCAACCCAAGCCTCTCAAGGGCAACTTTTTTAGGGTCTGGTCTGGGCAGTGCTTTGCCCGTGAACCCCCCCCCCCCCCCCTTCCAATTTGTATAGAGGAAACATCTGTGGCACTGTATACTGCTGAGATAAGATGTTTTTTAGAAGTTTTTTTGAATGGATGATAAAGCGTGTTTCCCCCAACCAAGCGCATGCGTGGACATGGTGAAGGGGTCGAGATATGTATTTCTTCATTTTCTGGACATTTCAAATATAGTTGTGAGTGGCGCCTGTGTGTGTCTTCTTCCCTGCGTCCATGTTCCTTTTCTTTCTTTTTTTGCGCTTTACACAATGCTTTATCACGTTCATCAACTAGCCCAACTACAAGTTCATCTACAGTAGCTGGTGTACTGTGCAATTCACGGGTACGG